AAACCTTTTTTGCTAGGGTTTAATACGAAACCTGTTGTACGAAACCTTTTTGTCAATAAAAAAAATAGAGGTTTAGTAGCTGAACGCCGGAACCTAGGTTCGTACGAAACTTAAAAGGGTATAGAAATGGTTGCAATTCTCTATACCCTTTTAAGTTTCGTAATAAACCACTTTTTTAGAGAGTAGAATGACTTAGCTTCTGTAACTTTCTCATATAATATTAGTACTATATTCCATTTATTCTTGGTCCTTTATTCAATTTAATAATCCACGATGATGTCCTATTAACATTGTTAAAACGAGTATAATTTTGCTGGGGGTCGATAATACAGTTGCAAAATTCGATTTTATTTTAGAATAGCCAGTTGTTAAACCAACAACTCCAAACACTTATATAACTTCGAATACAATTTTAAAAACAACTATATTTTCATCAATAGGTACTATATGATGAGATTCGAATGCATAAATTAAAAATACAAGTGTGAATAACCATGTTCGAGTTAACATCAAGAAGCAAACGTTCATTAAGGCTGAATGGTTTTTGACGAATCAGTCTAGCGACGTAACCGCCCCAAGCTGCTAATCGTTTTTTCAATGAGTCTAAGCGGACTATATGTAATTGATGATGGTGATTCCAAATATGAACATCGAAGTTGTTCTTAGGCTTTTGTTGACCGGTTTTCTGAAAAGTGGGTCTTCAGAAAACCACAGACTAAATCCAGAATAGTTCTCTGAATCGGCACTTTTGTAGAGGACACCAAACTGTCTATGTTCTATAACTTTTCGTTTTTCAAACTGTTTAAAAAGCGGACAATGAATTTTAACAAAAATAACTCTTATGTTTGAAACATTAGAATATGATTTGAAATGATTTGTTTTTTTAAGTCGTTTTCCATTTGCTTTTTGCTTAAATAATAAATACAAACTCTGAGCACGCGAATCGTACTGGTTTTTTCTAGAAATTTCATGCAAAAAGAAGTTATCATCTACACTGTTGTCAGATTGCTAGATCCTTCGTATTACAAGAAAAAACTATTTTGCACCGTACCGTTGTTCTAATCAGAATGTCGAAAACATCACGGTATTGTACTGTACCGAGAAAATTGATTATTTTCCCTATTTTAGAACAGAACTTGACTTTTATTACAGTTTTTGAATGTATCAGTCTAGTAGACACAACTACATAGTTGGTTTTGCTCCTCATCTTGCGGTGGTGATAAAAGCTTTTATCTTTATTTCGTTCAAGTGAGATACAGCAATTTGTAAAATAAGAAGAGATTTTTTTTGACAAGAACAGTTCTAGTAATGATATTCATGTAAGCCATTATATCCTTCCTCTATGCATATCAAAATGTTATTTAGAGACCTAATAGGCGTTGATAAATAAACTTTTTCTTATTTTTGCTTGAATTTTAAGTTATAAAGAAATTATTTGTGTTATAACATTTTAAGAAAGTGGTATGACTCCAATTAATTATATCAAGTCTGCATGTTTGGTTCATGACTAAACAAACGGCTTATTCAAAAGTAAAAGTTCTGATATGATTTAGCAAATGAGCATTTAACAGAAGCCATTATTGACGTACAATCATCTCGTAATTGTGTATGTATGAATATTAAATTCATGGTTATTAGTGATGGGCCGTCGTGTACCCGTTAAACATGAGTACTGATTGATAGATAGTGAAATGAAAGAAAAGAATTAAAAATATAACCATTGGTTATATTCTGAAAGAATAAACTGTTTGCTACAGTTTTCTTCAAGTTTAAAGAAGCTTCCTTTCAATTAGAAAAGTGATTATATTATCGCTAGCTGTCGTCAAAAAGACGCCTTCCCTCAGTAAAACCCTATAACGGCCATTGATGATACAAGTTGTACATCACAATGTCGAAAATACAATGGTACGCGATCAGTAATCACAACTTTTTAGATCATGCGTTCGAAATATGTGATAAATACTTGGAGACAAAAAAATTTTTTCATTCCAGTAACTCATTGTGCCGAACATTTATGGAAAGTTTCGTCAAAATCGGATGCACGGTGTAGGAGAGAATTTCTGAGGGGGGAAGGGGCCCTTAAGATAACATCTTAGCTGAAGCAAGGTAGTTTGGTATGCCAAGAGGAGGCAAAAGAAGAAATCAAGCACAAAGTGCATTATCTCATCGCTGGTCAAGTGCAAAGATTTCATCTTCAAGCGGGTCATCCAGTGAAGAATATAGTATGGATATTGATGATGAAGAATTGCCTTTCAATGAAAAACTTTGTCTGACCGATATTAGTGATGTTCAGTGATATAAGAAAACTGACTTCACATCAATTTAAGAGGCCAAGTTAATTTAAATTCGTTTGCAGTAAATTGATTTACATCAATTTCGTAGTTAAAATGAACTAGAATTAATTTCTTCGCTAAAATTAGCTCCAATTAGTTTGAGAAAACATAAATTTAAATTAGTTTTAACTGAACTGGGTTGAATAAATTTATTTCAAATGAGTTCGAATTAATTTCGTGCTTTAAATTGCTTCAGATTAATTGGTATTTGATTCTGGCATTGAAAATTAGTGTAAATTAATTTATAGACTCAAATTTCTTTGCAGTGCTGTAAACAAAATTAATTTATATTAATTTCTGTTCATAAATTAATTTAAATCAATTTGTAATAAATAATTCATTCAAATTGATTTAGAAAACAGTTGCTTAAATTAATTTCAAATTAAAAATTAATCGGAACGAATTTTTGTACCTAAATTAATGTAAATAATTACAAAAAGAATTAAGGGAAATTTATTTCAAGTTTTTCAAAATCAAAACACAGTGGGCATTTTTCGCTAGAGCAGGCGGACATTAACCTTATAAGTGGACTCGAATTATCTGAACCACTTTCTATAGGTTTTCGACGATTCTCTTTCCAAAGGAATAGCTTTCCAGTTTCGACAAAGTTTTGCAGTGGGTTTTACAGAGGCCGGATTTATGGAAAACCCTTTGAAACACGTTTTCAAACTCAAAAATCATTGCATTGGATAGAGCATCGTCAATAACCTATAGAAGCAGTTTTTTCAGACCTTCACGGTTTCTCTCTTGAATTTTGAATTTTCAGCTCAAAGTTCTTCATGTGAATCCCAAATCTAAGAAATTTATAGAATTCAGAACGGAAGGACCGAATTCAGATGAATTATATACCATCCTTGCAGTTTTTCACGGTGATTCTGAATATATATATATCATGTAGGAAAAAATGTTTTTTGAGTGCGAAAACGTCAGTTTACCTCCAAAACCGAGGGATTTTGGAAAACTAATATCTCAGTCCAGGAAAATATGCGCACTTTTGCGCATTCACCGTAGATGCACGGCCTCACGAGGAACATTTTGGTATAAAATATGTTAGTTCTTGCGTTAAGCTGCGCGTTCTCAAAATATCGAAGAGAGCCTTTACAGCCTAGACCGTTTTCGAAGGAATTCCAAAACTCTTAAGTTTCACTCGAAAAACAAAATTCTTTTTTTATTTCGTATGCGTCTGACTGTGTTCTTTCCGAATATGATCTCCGTTTTATCCTAATTTACTATCCTTCAATAAAAATCGAAATTTTCCAAAAATAGCGCATCTACATGGTGTTTTTGCATTTCAAATCTTTTATAGAAGGAAAAGTCGTAGAATAAAAATTCCTTCGCCATTAAATCGGCCGTCATCCAAAGTATATGAAACACTATTGAAATTACGAAAAAGCAAGCTCACTGTTTTTTTTCTAAATTTCCACCTGAATGCCCACTGTGCAAAATAGGTACTTGATTCGATTCAGAAATATTTTCAAGAAGTTCTGACACTACCATTGGATTCCTCGCAAAAAGTTGCTTTGGGAAACTCAGCCTCTAACTAAATCAGATGTACTATGGGAACTTTGAGTTTTTTTCTTTTTTTGAAAAAAGATATTGAAATCTTCACCAACTATTTGAACTAATTTAATCTCAAATTAGTTTAAATTAATTTTTAACCGAAAAATAATGTCAACTAATTCCCATATAAATTGATTTAAATTGGTTTGAATCTAATTTAGTCCTAACGAATTTTTTTTCCAAATCAATTTAAACCAGTTTTAAATCACAAATTCGTTTAAATTAATTCGTTAGTAGATTAACAACGATAATATCTGCAAAAATTAGTTCCGATTAATTTTAAATTGAAAATTGTTTTGAATTAATTTCTGTCAGATTAGAGCAAATCGATTTATTACTAAATTGAGTTAAAGAAATTTGGACAAGCATTAATTTAAATTAATTTGAGTTCGAGTAGATTTTTCGAATTAAGGTACACCAATTTAATGAGACTTTGTGTAATGCGGTAAGCAGGGAAATTAATTTTTTCACGAAAAAATGAAAATTAATTTCAGTATTTTTAAATTAACGACCATTACTTTTGTAGTATGGTTTTTCATATTTTTTTTATTTTTTATTTTTAAATTTATTCAAAGATTTAAATTGATGTGCATTAATTTTGAACGCCAAAAAAGTTTGCTAAATTAATGTGAACGAATTTCCTTTCAAATTTGTTCAAATTCCTTTGTATCTCCAAATTAGTTTCCATTAATCTGAAAGTATTTAAAAGTTCAAATGGATCGCTGATATCAGCAATAATAAGAAGATAATAATAAAATTATACACATTTGTATCCATTCATTTTATCGAAGAGTTCCTCCGGAAGGTAAAACGATTATTTTAAGTATGATCTGATACACAGTAACTCTATTATTCAGTTACAGCGAGAAAAAGGGGTTGATCATCATTGCTCAGCATTCGACCAAGGCCAAGTTTAGTTAATATTAGATTGATACGATTTATCGTAAAACCCAGGCAACACTGAGCAACTCTTCGAATGAGGTAGGATTTCTCAACTTTCGCACTAACTATATTCAGACATGTTTTGTTGCATTTATGCAAAAGTATTTTTTATTTTGAAGAATATAATGAAAAAAAAAAGTTTAAACCGTCGTTTTCGGTCTTCTCTTATGAACAACTATATTTTAAATACATACTTCCTTCATGGCGTTCCCCATCCATACTTTGAAAACCATGACAGGACGAATTTAAATTTTTTCTTGCTTCGTTAAATGTACCTTGCCAATCATTTTGATATGGTGTATCAACTGTACATTTGCACCGGCCACCATTGGCATTAACACAACCCCAGTTATGTTCACTATGTATATTATTTAAACATTGTTGTACATCATTTACATGATCACTACTCGATTTACTATTACAAGAACTTGAATATTTCTTACCACCACCCTTGCATTCACTTGGCCTAAAATATATTTCACATTTTTTTTCAACTGATCTTGAGAATTATAGCTAAATGCTTTCGGAAAATACTGTAGGTTTTTTGCAAGTATCGAGATAAACCCAAAACAATATTTTAGTACTATCGACAAGATTTCGCCGAGTATTCGACGCAAATTCAGCCACGCTAGATGTAATAGTCTCTTTAGTACCGTTTCTACATTTCTAAATAAAAATCGATAACAAAATCGGTAATCGATAATTGCAAATTGATAACAATAGCACAACACTGATAACCATCTAAAAAGTCTTTTTCTGCACTTCGAATCAATTTTTATCCTATACTGTTTAAATGTTTGACATATTGTCTCTTACATCTCGACAAAGCTTGGTTAAAATCCGCATAGAATAACATCGTGAAATAGATAAAATTTAAACATTTCTTAAGGTGCCGCTAATTCAAAAATCAAGCACTCTTCATTTTTCCTTGAAAGACACATCATCCGATGCAGAATTTTGTGCTGATTACGAATATCACCTTTTTAGATGGTTATCAGTGTTGTGC